TATAGTTTGCTCCACTTGTCCGTCCCTCAATTACCTGTGGTAATCATCCTCAAAAGTGGAAATATTGGCTTGAATGCTCGGCGAAAAACATTAGTAGTTGCTGCACTTGTCCGTCCGTCTGTTAATGCCAGTAACGAACACTATTCTGGTCGCAAAAACGAAAATATCGGTTTCAAATTCGTGAAAAATGTTAGAAATTTTTCCATACAGCCAGATATTGCAAATGGGTTTAAGGTAAGGACACGCTCACAGTACAACGTGAAGTGAGGAACGCGCCTCGATTTTTAAAAACGAAAAAGTCGTTAGTTTGCTCGTTAGTCATAACTGCTACGTAAAAATTTGTATACTCTATTTTAATACATAGTGCTGGGGTGGGTAGAAAAGATCCGATCAAACCTGAATATAATTTTCTTATTTATTTAAAAATTGATACGAGTCTCATACATTTGTAGTGATTATAATGGATTTTTTTGAATACCAAAGTGTTCTCAAATCAACTGCACTTTCTCTCTTAGCCAATCAAACATATAAAATTTAATAAGTGTTCATGTAAAAATAATTAAAACATTATTAATAAAATTTGCTCAATAATGAGAGTTCGCTTCACAAGTTCGCCCTCGAACACTTTTTCTTCGGAAGTAAAATAAAAAGTAATTGTTATGATAGGTGTTTATCCTTTAGCCACCAGCTGCACACAGATTACTAAATATTTTCTTATATTTATTTATTTATGATTTCAGTGCCATGAACAAGTAACGCAGCGTAAATTTAAGCGATTCCAACAGTTTGTTCAAGCGTGGCTAACAAATCATGTTACGGTTGAGCAGCAACAACAATGCAATGAATGGCTTTTGGGAACTAATTCATCGACAGCTACCGTTAATGTTGTAGGAGGAGTTAATAGCACACATAATCCCGTTGTCAACAATTGGTCAACATTAACAATACCAAGAACTAAAGTAATTATACAAAATGATGTAAAGAAAACACCCTATCGTTTATATCAACGTTATAAAGTGTTAAGTGCAGGCAATACTATGAACAATGTTAATGCAAATAATAATAATGCAAATAATAATAACAATAACAATAGTAGTACCTCATCATTTGCTGCTGGTAGTAATAGTAATAATAATAATAATAATAATAATAATAGCAATAATACCAATAATAATAAAAATAACAATAATAGTAGTAGTAGCAGCAGCATTGGTGGCTGTGGTAGCGGCAGTGTTGGATCTTGCAACGCAACTTTTACCCTAAGTAACAATACCACCGGTGCCGGTGGTGGTGGTGGTGGCGGCGGCGGCGGTGGCTGCTCCGCATCCATTACAAATCTTGTAACTGTGACATCAACAACAACTGCTGGCATGATTTTGAGTTCTTTAGCTAGTGTCCCGAATTTAAATCAAACTGAAGCAGCCGCCACTGCCACAGCGACTGTAACAAGTTTGGCGCCAACGCCTCATTGCAATAGCGTTGCCGGCTTATCGCAGTCCTCCGTAGTCGTAGTGGCAGAAGCGGCTCAGGTAAGACCTATGGAAAGCTGAAAATTTATGCACTTATAAATGCATAAAAAAAGGAAATCGTCGTGAACGTGTGACATATTTTGAATATCAAACAAAAATCATAAAAAAATAATAGTTTTTGCATTTCTTGCTTTATTTCAATGAAGAGTATTTAATGAATTTGATTATTTTGAAACAAGTTTCTTTTTTTGATACATATGTAATCAGATTTTATTTTTATTTATTTATTTTTTTCCCCCCCCTCCCAATTAGTAAATAATCGAATGTAATATGAAAAGTTGATGTAAAATAATTATTGCTTTTAAGTGAAAAAATATATATGAATGAAAGTCGCCTACTCTTTGTGGTTAAGTTTTCATGTTATTTTTTTTTTTTTTTTTTTATTTATTCAAGGTTGTCAGTTGGTATTAAAAAAAAAAAAAAAAAAAAAGAGCAAATAAAAATGATTCCTTAAAAAAAGAAAAAACAAAAAAATTATTTTTAAGATCAATAACTATTTTTTAGAATAAAATTTTTGGATTTATTTTTCCAAGTTAGAAGCAAAACAAAACAGAAAAAATAGTCATTGAAAAAATCTACAAGAAAAGAAAAAGAAAAAAAACTTTGTTGTGTTTATACGTAGGACTTATTTAATTTAAGATAGTTAGAAATGTACGTAAGCGTGTGTTTTTGTAAAATTTCTGAAAACAATTTATATTTACCATCTCAATATATATATATATATATATATATATATATATAAATGTACATTCAGAGAATTAGAGAAGTGAAAAAAGAAAAACAAGAAACAAGTTTTTGAAAATGTCTACATTTTTTATGCTTTTCATTTGTTATTTTCAAAAGTAGCTAATTTCTAAACGAAATTATAAGCATACAATCTTATCACTATTATTACTAATTTTGAACCGTATGTTATGTAACTTAAGCAACCCTTCCTTAAGATAAATAAAATATAAAATTTATAAATTTATATATATATATATATATATATACATATATACATATATACATATATATATATATATATACTAATGTTAAAATACTTATTATATAACAATGCTGTATATAAATGCATATGTAATTATTTAAGAAAAAATCTTTAAAAAAGAAGTTAAAAAGTACTTTCATCAACAATTAGTAGTTTTTAAATTAATTAATAATAATAATAATGAAAAAATATTAACATTTTTCTATATAAAAAAAAAAAAAAAACGTTTTTTATTAAAATGAAATCAAGTATAGAGTAGAAGAATGCAAAGATTTTAACTGATCTTAACTAGACCTTCAGTTTATGTCAGCAAGTAAAATAAGTTCTTTGAAAACCGTCATCGCATTTCATCTAAAAGCGGTGTACCTAATCGAGCTCTTTTATTATAATGTGTGGATTCAAAGTCATTTTTCGAATCGATCTAACTTCGTCTGTCCATCCGTCCGTTCAACTTATTTCTTGTGTTCAACGTACATACAGGTCGCAATTTTTAAGATATTAGTTCGAGGCATAAGTAAGTTCCGTTTTTTTATTTAACATTTAATTTGCTTTCTTCCATCTTCCTGCCAGTTTATCAATTCCCTTGATGTAAAATGTGGTAGGTTTGAACTAGAAGACATTTTCGATCATTGAGATTGTAAGGCACCCATACTAGTAAGTCACAGACTTTTCCTAATTTTGCCAGGTGGCGGTTAACAGTTGATTGTGAGGTACATAACATTTTTGCTATGATTGGCGTGGATTTTGCTCAAATATTGCCTTTAAAAAGTTGTCAAAGTGGGAAGAACGTCCCTCCCTTGGTTTGTCTTTTAAGGTCGTATCTCCAAAATGGAATTTTACAAACCAATTTCCAAGTGCCCGATCAGTTATCAGTCGTTCACTATATACGCTGCATATTTTTGCAGCTGTCGCATTAGCTCTGTTGCATTGTTTAAAGCATTACTTGTTCATTTGAAATATTAAGAAACAGCTGAAACAGTAGAATGTAACATGCACCACATAAAATAGTTGACAGAAGACGTAACTGAATCCACCTCTATATAGTAAGAACAAAAACTTGTTTGTTTCGGTGACTTATAGTGAGTAAATACAAGCAAGAGATTCTACCCAACAGCATCGGAAGTTACTTATGACTCGACCTTATATTTTAACACACAGAAGTACACAGAAGTGTTTTGGTTCAAGGATGAAATTAAAATATAGAAAATGATTCGGTTCAGAACATTGTTTCATACGCCTCCCTTAAAGTACTCTATCTTGACAAGTCATTACATGAATAAGTATATTAAACTATGGTGTTTTTCTTTATTTTCGACCCAAACATTAATCCAACACCAAATATTGGATCGATTTACTGTTCGCGTTAACCAGCCACCATACGGAAGATAAAAATCGCATAATCGCATTTTGGGTTGATGGTACTCGATCGCTTTCAAGTCTAATTAAGCTTTTCGTTTGTTACATTTACCATGGAACATTTGCGGTATCGTCGATGTATGTACAACAAAATAATGCAAAGCAAAGAATGAAAAGTAAATAAAGAAAAAAAAATTAAAAAGTGCATTAAATGCATCACTGTTTATTTAAATTGCCTAATCGCTTGTTTCTTAATGGCTGGCTACAGGTTCCATATTAAATGCAAAACATCATAATTCAAGAATAGCCTTTAAATAGCTTCCAGTAATCAGAAGTTTTCATTTGTTTCTTTTTTTTCCCCTTTAAGATGATCAATCAAAAAGAATGACCTTGGAGTGTCAAAAAGAGAGGGCGAAAGAGAAAGCAATAAGGAGGTGTTGACGGTAGCCTTGTGGGTGTGGGTTTTTTCCCGACTGATCACTTACTATCGCTACGACGAAAGAATCGCATTTGATATTTGAACTCGCAAACACCGACTGTGTAATAATCGCGATTCTGATCCACTACACAGGCGTTTCCATCAACTTTTCCCTATTCATATATTCCTTTTTTTATTATACGGCGCTAACAGGTCAAAACATCGACAGTAATTATTTTGTTTTATTATGTTTGGGAACATTTTGGAATTTCTGGAACGAAGTAATCTTTTCATGTTCGTTAATTTCGTCACATATATGCCTTTACAGCGATCTTTTGTATTGTTCTCCTTTTGAACATGAACCCCGATAGCTATTTTCCTTTTGCGCTAAAATATGACATTTTTTGTACGATATCGAGCTGTTATACGCTGTCAAGTACTATCAAACAACTTCTCGTTAACGAGAAACATTAAACCAAAATCGAACTTTAACAGCGAATTTTTTCGATAACGAGAAACGCAAACCAATGCCAGAGTCACTTCATAAATTGGTCTAAGCTCGTCTGTCCATGTGTCTCACTTGTTACGTTCAACGTATTGGTCACAATTTTTGGGACATTTCGATGAAATTTGGTATACCTACACATGCTTTGTCTCAACGACGAATGCTAATAAAAATGTTTCAAATTGGACAACTTTTTCGAGCACTTCCTTTATAACATCGTATTATAAGGTGGTTAGGTTACGTTCGTTCGTGTGTTCGTTGAAGTGTAAGTATGTGCTCTTTTTTTAGTTGCAACTGAAGAGTGTCGGTGAGCCTACCATATGGAAACGCGCCCCCCCCCGCCCCCCGCATCCCACGAAGCAGCTAGCAAAAGCGCGTAAATCGGTCTCATACGCCTTCGATCCTCGTAAAGTGGCACTTTTAAGCCATAAAATTGCCATAAAATTTAATGCAGTTAATAGTTTTCTACACATATAAGGAGAATGTAGACGGTAACTTTACATAAATGTGGTGGGCCGTGTCTCGCTCTAATGTTTTTACTTGTTTGCGATTGAATATTGAAAAAATGCTGACAGGTTCCAATAAAAATTTGCTTTCTTTCTTTCCTTTTTTTATTCCGAAATGTGATAATTTAATCTTAATAGCTTTTTTACCGAGAGTTGCAATCGGTCATGGAAACTTTAGGTACTTTAAGCTTATTTTTTATCTTGATAAGCAAAAATTAATCTATATATCAACAAAATCGCAATTTGGAATAAAGTGGTTTTAAGGCCTTCAAGGTAAAAGAGGCTTAGAAAATGTGGCTATCATATCTGAAGACACGATTGAAACATGGGGGATTTTCTGTTGAGATATCGACGGAGTTGTCCCAATGGCACCACTAGTAGGCTGGCTTGCTACCTCAGCTTAACTGACACGAGGCGGGCTATCCGGCTTATTTGTAACATTGTATTATCAACCGAGATAGCGGTAGAGGAAACGCTAACGATCTTTCTAGGCAAGGTCGAATCACTTGAAACTTTAACCGGATTTGCCCATAGCAGACCCGCAAGTTTATCATTGAAAATGAGGACCAAAAGGAATGGTGGCGAGCAACACGAATGGCATTACAGCTTGGTCTTTTAAAGGCTGAAAGGAGAGGCGAGCGCCGTAAATAGCTACACTCACCGAACGTTTTCATCATTGCAAACTTGCAATTGTGCGCGACATTTTTACGACCGGCTCAGCTGTGTTTATTTCCCTTTTGCCCATTAGGCTGTAAAATGAGCGATTTCATAACAGTGAAAGTTGATACAGAATGCCGCATTTTTAATAATAGTTGGATCTTACACTGGATCGCATAATAATATGAAAATTAAGACCGGCCCGTAGATGAAAATACTTGCCCAACCCTGTGTTAGAGCAAAATCATTGTCTGACAGCATAAGAGATGACAGAAAATATATACATCTAATTCTTTTTTTACACGGATTTTTTTAATACAAAATTTGAGTTCAAAAAAAAAAATACTCTTTTATTCTAACACGATTTTCAATATTCTATTTTTTTTTTGGCGTTTCTGTAAATGTTTTCATTCTGCCTTCCTAAAAACAGGCATTGTAAGCTCGCATTGTACTTTTCACAATTTGATTAGATTATGTCGATTATATGCCTATATGAGTGGGATTCCTCGACTTATGCGTGGACTGAAGACGTAATGTCTGGTTTTCAAAACATAATTTATTTTCTATAATACGTTTAATGAATTAAAATGTGAAAGCACGAAATAAATTCTTAAGTAAGCTCTAAGAACCATTTACTATATTTCCATTTAGCTAATAACTTTTTTACCAGAATTGTCTGAGAACGTATCTATCGTGTGAAAAGATAATTAGGTGTATGTTTGCGTATATGTGGAAAACCATCGACAGACGCAGTAATAGGACTTGAGCCCGATATACTTCTATACCTTGTCCTTTCTTTTATCTCCCCTCGTCCGCTTATCTGTAAAAAAAAAAAAGTTACACATTTCCAGCAGATATTATTTTCAACCTCGCCCGTGGGTTGTTATTTCACCTCGTCATATCAAGTAGAAAACCTAAGCTTAAGACTTTATCAAAAAAAATATATAAGACTCTATATATAATA